AATAGTTACATCAGCCATAAATATGATTGAACAGTAATCTTTGATAGGTTGTTTAGGCAGAGTATTCATAATGAATCTAAGTTTCAAATGGACAGCAACTGCCTGTTGTAGAAACCTACAAATGTAGAGGACGACGTTTCGAAAATCTTCCGCCTTTCGTCTTCAGGTAGGTTTCTACAACAGGCAGTTGCTGTCCATTTGAAACTTAGATTCATTATGAATACTCTGCCTAAACAACCTATCAAAGATTACTGTTCAATCATATTTATGGCTGATGTAACTATTTTCTGATGTTCTTTTACACTTTTGTTAAAACTTTTGTTTGTTGCTGGAAACTAATTTAATTTTCACCATATAACTTGATCAAAGCACATTTTTTTCTCAGGATATATATATAGTTCTGAAATAAGAAACATAAGTACATTTTGATTGCAAGTAATAAATATAGAATTTAGATTACAACATAGTTTGGTAACTATTTATGATTCTTACAAAGTCCTACACAAACTCTGGGTCACACTAAACATTTAAATAAGATTGGTGGAATATGAATGTCCAAATGTTGCAGAATATTCAAAGTAATTATAAATATTAAATTGAGCAATGAATTTCAGATTTTATACTTCACTATTGCTTTCCTATCCTCAAACTAATTTCTTCTAAAAGGAAATAAAAAGTTCATATATTGTCTTTCACTGTATTATTAAAGTTCATTTCTTAAGTTACTGAATAAATATAATTAACTTAATGTATGAGTTTGCCATAATATTTGGGTTTTAGACTGCCTCTGAAGTATGCTTGTTTTTAATGGTTGTGTTACACAAACAGTTTTCACATTCTTAAGTATAAACATATCATGAATAGCTTGAGTAAGACAAAGCTGTAAGCTGTCTGTGTTAGACTAATTTACTGTACGTTTGGGAACTACAGCAGTGACTAAATGCAATTTAAAACGAATACAGAACAGCTTGAATTTTAGCTGTTTGAATTTTTTAACGAAGAGCACATGAAAATTGTTGTATTGAATCTTGTCACATGAAATCAACAATCAAATACAGAAAACAATATCCACATGAACTTAAGAATAAATCTATTTTATTGGCTTTTATGACACGTTCGTTCGTTAAACAATGAAGCTGATAACACAAATTTTTTTCTAACTGTAACAATGCTAAAAATGAGTGCACTTATAGCCCATTTGGCTCAATCTTAATGAACAGCAATGGTAAATTATATATAATGTCTCTTTAAAAAATCACAAGCTGCATCCTTCTCGTCACGGTAAACTAATGTGTTCAGCTTGACTTGCAGTTTTGCATTAAAATATTTCTAAGTTATCTACATATAGTATCTGATGACTATCCTATAATAAGTCCACAACCAAACCGTGATTGATTTTTAGCATGATTCAACATTCCACTTAGAGCAAGAGTGAATGGAAGAGGTTGCAACTTCTTCTCAAGAACTGCTCCTACAGTCCAGTTACTGTCAACAGTACCTGCAAGTAACAAGAACCTGTTATGTTACAAACTGTTGGAGGTGGCAAGTAATAGTTCATTTTGAATGGTGTAATGAGCTTTCTTCACCTTTGATAGTTTGGAAACAGTGTCTTGAATGGTCAACGTATCCTAAAGTCCTGACAAAAATATCAGAACTTTAGTCTCCAAATTACCAGTGCTGGATGAAACTCATTTCATGGTCCAAAATGAAGAATGTTTGTGATTAACTTAAAATTAAAAATTTTCATAACCATTAAATGAAAATATTACAAAAAAAGTTAGAAGTTAATAACAGAATGGTGAGCACATATTTGAACAGAATCTATCCTAATGTGACATTATTCAATAAGAAGTCCAACAAAATATTAAATGTGTTAAAGAAAAGTAGTTCTAAACTTAAGAATTTTATCATTTGATGTTCAGCCAGCCATTGGCAAAATTGCAGATACCTGTGGAAACACCTGGACCTTTCTGTAAGAGTCTAATCTAATGTTTTGAATTATTTCTAAATCTTAAAATATTTTATTTCTGTTTACAATATTTATTAATTAGAAGCATTTGAATATCCATTTATACAGTTTACATCCAACATAGTTCTTCATTAAAACACTACCAGGTCTATTACTCCTAACACTACCAAAATATTGAAAAGTAACTGAAAATATAAACAGATAACGTGAATAACTTCAACCTCCTGAAATGTTCTTATGTTATTTCTGTAAATCATACACTATCAGGTCTATTACTGCTAACACTACCAAAATATTGAAAGGTAATGTGTATAGCTAACTGAAAATATAAACAGATAATGTGAATAACTTTAACCTCCTGAAATGTTCTTATGTTATTTCCATAAATCATGCATATTTCTTCCAATTTATTTAATCTACTTTTCTGTCTGACTCTTACACACAAAATTAATATAGATAATTTATAAAATACAATAATCTAACAAAGGATTCTGCTATACTTAAAAAATAAAAGAAATAAAAGAAAAAGACAGAAGAAAAGATAATTTTGGATTTCCAGATCAGAAAATTTAAGCTACCAACTAAATATGGTAACAAATAAATTTGGAGGCATTATGATTAATTATGGGTGTACTAATATTACTGTATGTTAAAATATTAATATAAACCATTTTCCAACTTGAGTCATGATCACTTTTACCATTAACACAACTGATTGTTTGACCAACGGGTCAAGAGGAACTATTATTGACTTTATCAAAGGCCCAAAGAGGTCAGTTACTGACGTTATGATTGAATTTGATGAAAATATTCAGGAAAAGAATGTCAGCAATGTGAAAATATAAAATTCTTGTGGCACAATACCCGAATGTAACTGTAACCCCAACTGAATTCAAGTATAGTGTACGAGAAAGGCACCATAAACAATTATTTCAAGTGAAATTCATTCAATTTCCCATCAAACTTTGCTGACCATCACTGCTCACAAAATGCAAGGCCAAACTGTATCCAAGTCCATGAGCCGTGTAACTGATTTAAGTACTGTTTTCACTAGTTCACAAACATATATTATTTTGGGTCGGGTTCAGGAATTAACTCAGATATATTTTCCAAAGTTTGTTGAGTCAAAATTCAAATGTGACCAATCAGCGTATGCTGAAGCAAAGACTCTGTAAGAGAAAGCTATTAATATCATTTCAACACAATGGAACACTAGAAACGAGGATGTAATGAGCATATCAGTGCTGGATTGCTGGTCTTTATGTAAGCACTATGAAGATATCTTGAATGATGGAACAATCTTAAAAAGTGACATTATCTGCATAACAGAAACTTGGCTACTATCAAATGACTTTTTCGTGCCAGGTTACAAGATATCTGCAGCAAGCAAAGGCCGAGGAAAATTAATGTATGCGAGGTCTGAATATAACAGTTTATGATGACTTTCAAATGCTGAAACTTGAAGATGATTCAGTTGATGTTATTACATTTTACTGATCTCAGACCTGCAATGATGATTCCTTGTATGAAGCTATTAAAAACATGATTTGTCCTTTGTGGGGATTTCAAACTACATTGTGATCTTTCAACAAGAGCAGACTCATTGATGTCAACATTACAAGACCATCACCTGATTCAAATAGTTCACACTTAGAGGGTCATATAATCAATCATGTATATACTAGATTAATTGAACATTCAAGTTACTTTTTTCAGACCACAATTGCATATGTTGAATTAGTTAAGAGTCTTTCTCCTATGGCACTTTGGTCAGTTAGACAATATTACAGTGATTATTTATATACCGGTATCTGAAATTTAGTACTCGTATTGTATAAATAAGATCCAGTTGTAGGCCTACTTGGGAAGGTTCTAGACATAAAAAATAATGTTAATTGAGCCATAAATCCTGAAATTGGGAACATTTTTAAATCAAGAGGGAATCCTCGATAGCCACGGCACTTGAAATTCTTTTAAGCAGGATTAGAGTAAATTAATCTACGAGACCTTTTTTTCCTTTTTATTAGCTATATTTTTGTGCACCAGCAATACCAAGCATGGGATGCATGAATGCACGATTCAATTTTATTACTCATTAGGATCTCTAACAGCTTACCCTCAAATTGAAATTATTTTAGGCAAGATTAGAATAAATTAATTTAGGAGACCTTAAGCTTAGTCAAATATATCAATCGAAAGGGTTTGATCTCCGGAGTCCAAAACTGCAATTAGGTCTCAAATTGGTCAAGAGATGACGGAGCTATGAGTTAAAAGTTTGTACTTGAAAAAAAAACAACCTAGAGCCATTCTAGGAGTTCCTATGGTGCAGCTAAAAATAAAGTAATATAAAATAAGGCAGCAGTTGTCCATTTCTGAAAAGATTACCAAGTTACAGTAAGCAAGCATTCTTGCACAAAACTAGTTATCATTCTCATTAGTGTATTGATACTACTACTGACAGAGAAATGGTAGCAAAATAAATACTTAAAAAATTTATTGTCATAAAAACATTTTTTTTTGCATACAATGATAATAATACATTAACTAAATAAGCAATATCAAGTAATATTTACTATAAACTAGGTTCAAATATATTTTCACTACATTTTCAAATTAATAATTAGATAGGAACCCAAATTGTCACCATACACAAAACTATGTGAGGGCTATCTGTGCTAGCCATCCCTAATTTAGCAGTGACAGACTAGAGGGAAGGCAGCTAGTCAACACCACCCACTGCCAACTCTTGGACTACTCTTTTACCAGTGAATAGTGGGGTTAACCATCACATTATAATGTCACAGAAGAAGAAAAATAGCAGATTGAAAAAAGCAACAGAAAAAGGTTACTTTAAAGCAAGACCAAAATTATAATCAATTTTATAGAGAACATTTCTTTCAATACATTTGAATACAAAGGAGACCATGTTCATTTATCACTATTTACAGTCCCAACTAGCACACCAAACAATACACAAACTTTCACAAAACAAGATTATATAACACCAATAATTCATCATTTGCAATAAACAAAGGAACAAAATCTATTAAATACTGTCAAAAAAAACCTACATAACTAGTAAGGAAAGTAAGATATTAAGAGAAAATCATATACATTTGTTATATAAATTCAAAAAAAAGAGCTCCCTCTGCAGATCAAAAATACAAGCCTAAAAAACCTACTTACCATTAAGAGAAAATGAAGTATAAGAAACCATAATTACCAGGTTTGAATTCATATAATCTGTGGTATGATAAAAAAGTACAGTTGTTCAAAAACTATGAGACAATCATAGACCAATAGCTGAAGCTTCCCAAATATAATATTTGAATATAATTACAGAGAAAGTAATAATAAGCTTACAACTAATAAAATGAAAATTGCTACATGTGAGGAAACACACTAAAGATTATTGTTTCAACATAATATTATTACTGTCTTGTATTTTCACTAACAACGAGTAATCAGTAAGAGTCCATGTAAGAACTAAAGTTTGAAGCATAGAGAAAAATGTTTAAAATTTGTTCAATCATAATGAATCTAAGTGAATGAATCATAATGAATCTAAGTGAATGAATCATAATGAATCTAAGTTTCGAATGGACAGCAACTGCCTGTTGAAGAAACCTATGACTGTAGAGGACGACGTTTCGAAAATCTTCCGCCTTTTGTCTT